TCTTTTAAAGTCCCATTTTTCCCAAACAAAAAAGCACACAATCCCAAAAAAGCCGGCTCAAATAAAAAAAAAAAAAAAAAAAAACTGGGAAAGTACATATATAAGTCTCACAGGGCTATAAGCCACTGGTATTTCCACTGCTCTAGGTTTTCCATAAGGACCCAGCAGAGGGCAGAAGAGGGCAATGTCCTCACCGAACCGTGGTTTCGTTCACGCCTAGTTTACGTGCAGCGGCTCTATTTCCCTCCTGTACTGCCAGATTGATAGCCCTCAACTTAAAAGCTGCACCATATGAGTTTGAAGAAATTTCTCCGTCGTGCCTGCTGCTAGCATGTGCTTGTTGTAGAATCTAAATGAAAATTAGCACTTTCTTCTTTGATTTCCAATTTCGACTTCCAATGATTCTCTTCCTGCTAAAGAGCCCCCTGGCGGTTGAAGAAAAATACACAGAGCCACACCGAGCTATAAGCCGCATGGTTCAAAGTGTAGGAAAATAGTGGCGGCGTATAGTCCGAAAAATACGGTATTATAATTCTAACTAAAGAAACTTATTTTTCTTCATCCAGTCCGTGTGGTATTTCTCCTTGTCTACTGGCAAGGCACAGTGCAGTTTTAGACAATAAAACTTAGACAATGAATTAAAGCTCAGGCCGAGCTTGCATTCAGTTTTGTTAAGCATGTTTTGACTGCTGAATCATTTACTGTACACTGAAAACCTATTTGTGATTTGATTTGTTAATTCTGTGACATTTGTCACAGGAACAACAAACAATGTTCAAAGTCCAATGTTCCAAGTTTTATTACAATCTGGCAAGTGTCATTCAGCTATTGTAAAAGAAACTACTTAAGGGTTGGATGAAGGCAGAAAGCACCAGTAGACCACCAGGGACAGACTGAAGATGGAGGCGTCGAAGGTTGTAACTTCAAGATCTCCATCTTCTGGGGACACAGCTCAGCTTGAGGCAGACTCTCACAGTAAAATAATTTCACATTTAAGGCAAACTGGATCACAGGCAGGAAACACAGAAAACCTGACAAATTATCAACAAACCTGCACACAGGACATCAATGCTGTGCTGAGAGAGCTGAGTGCATCGTTGGCCGGACTGAAGGTTGATATGGAGTACGTAAAGAAAGATAATGAAGGTATGAAGGTCCAATAGATGCAAATCCTAAGAAATCACTGCTTTGAATAACCGTGTTGTTAATGTAGAAAATACTTTAACTTTCACTATTTACCACAACAGCCAAGGTGCTCCAACTTGAGTTCCAGAAGGAGGAGCTGGAGAAGCTGAAACAACAGAACCAAAGTATGAAACCAAAAATATAGAAGTAAAACACTGAAATTTAAGTTTTCAATTATTTTAGATTTTAATGTTGAATAAATGTTACAATTTAAAATATGTTTTAATAATGCAAACAAATAGGGCAAAAAACTGTACTAAAATTTAATATATATATATATATATATATATATATATATATATATATATATATATACATAATTTTAATTATTTTTTGCCTAACTTGAACTCTATTAAATGTTATTGTAAAGTTTGTTTTCTTCAATTCTTCAGACAAGGAAAGAGAGTTGGAGGTCCAGAAGAAAAAGCTGGACAAGCTAAAACAACAGCACCAAGGTATTTAGATAATGATAACCTGACCTACAAA